CCTCAAACTGATATAGAGGTTTAACGCAATTACTATCAGAATCCCAGAAAATTGTTTTTTGTAGGTATAGGTAAGATAACTCTAAACTTATATGAAATTACAAAGGAACTGTAATAGCTAAAACTCTTTTGAAAAAGAAGAATCAAGATTCAGCTACAGTAGTCAAGACAGTGAGGATAGACCCATAAATCAGGGAAATGAAACAGAGAACCCAGAAACAGCCCATACAAGTATGGCTATCTGATCCTTTGACAAAGTTGAAAAGCAATTCAATGGAGGAAGGAGAGTCTTTTCCAAAAACTGTGATGGAGCAAGGATGTACCTTAAAATAAATGGTGTTTTCTACTTAATAAGATACAGTATTTCTTGTACACCTGCTCTGAGCAGACACTACTGTAAGCACCAGGGGTCTAGCAATGAGAAAAGAAAGGTTCTGCTTTCGTGGTGTTAACATTCACACATTCGCAGTCCCCAGGAGAACTCCTGGGTGCTAGGGAAGGGGTGTGGACATCTGGGGTCAGAGATAGGGTGGGAGCTACCTTCGGACAGCTCCAGAAAAGGAATGCAGGGGCATCGACCTTCATCTAGCTGGCTCCCCGGCCTTTTCTCAAAGATGACATAGTGAAGGTCATGGGTATCCCGCTTCCTGTCTCAGCCCCTGATGTAATGCGCATCTGCCGATGACCCACAGGTTTTCCCTCCATCACACTGCCGTGGGGTTCACATGTGTGGGTATAGTAAAAATGGTTCCGGGAAGGCCTGGTCCATCCTAGAGTCAGGTGTTACTCCTGTGTCCCCAAATCCTTCCCGAGCCTGGTTGGATCCTGAGCAGGAGAGCAGGGCCAGGTGCTGGGGCGGGGCAGGCCTGCGGGAGCAGAAAGGGGAAGAGAGGGTCGGCCAGGAGCTCTCAGACGGCGCCTTAATGGGGGGTGGGGGGTGCCGGCCAGTGCAGGCCAGTATGGATAACCCAGACAGACTCCAGTCTTCTCCCTGAAGCTGTGGACAGGCTGGGGGCCTTGTGTTCAAAGGGGCTGCGAGCCCCTCGGCCGAGGGATCTGAGCAGGAGGGAGACAAGGGGCAGAACTCAGCCCAAGAGTCACCCCTTCCTGTCTGCAACAGTGAGGGCCGTGGCGAGTTACCTGACTCCGAGCGCTGCGTTTCCTCATCTGGAAAACAGGGAGAGTGTAATTCAGATGGCGTTTGCTGTGAGGATCACAGAGGCTGCGTATCAGCAGCTGGCACAGGTAAGGGCTGCTTCAGAGAGCGGAGCAAGTGAGACAGAGCTGGGCTTGAAACCCGCTTAGAAGCTGTCTGGCCTCGAGCGCGGTGCTTCTCACCTTGGCAGAAACAAGACCAAGCCCTGCCCATTGGGTTACAGTGAGAATTAGCAATAATACAGCCCGGGACTTCCCTGGTGGTCCAGGGGCTAAGACTCTACCCTCCCAATGCAGGGGGCCAGGGTTCCATCCGTGGTCAGGGAACTAGAGCCAACCAAGCGTTGGAACCCAGAAACTTGGCACACGCTGCGGCCAAGACGGAAGGTCCTGAGACTGAGACCCAGCCCTCCAAACAGGTAGGCTGAATTTAACTAAATGTTTAAAAAAAGAAAGAAAGAATACAGTCCAAGACCTGGTGGCAAGAATAGCACATGGCGGTCTCTGTTATCACCTCATCCCTGTAAGTCTGTTTCAGACAAAACCTAATTAGACTCTAAAGAGTGCCAGGGATTTCAGAGGCGTTCCATGAATAGCTGCTGCGTGAAGGGCTAAATAACTGAATCTGAACTGTATCAGTGGATGAAGAACACTGAAGGAATGGCCCAGCCGTCTCCTCCCAAGGCAACCTTGCAGCATACTCAGTCCTGTCCTTAGGCTCTGGGGAGGATTCCTGACTCCAGTTCCTTTGCCCAGAGTGTCGCCATCACGGTCGCCCGCAGGAGGAAAGCCAGGCTGACTTCCTCCCGGGGAGCAGCTGCGCTGGTTTCTGCCTTTCAGCGGGAAGAAAGGAACTCTTTCTCCAGGGTTTCTGGCCTAGACTCTGAGCCAGCTGCCCTCAAGGAAAAAAGGCTTTGCTTCCCAAGTCCCAAAGCCCCGTTCCGGCTCTGAAAGGGTTAATGTCTTCTGTGAGAGTGATGGGGGGGTGCGGGGAGGGCTCAGGGGCCCTGCCGGGAGTCAGGCCTGGGCTGGGTGCAGGAGAACACCCTGGTCTTCAGCCCCAAGGGTTTGGTCAGCACGCAGGATGCGTCAGAAGCCATGCTGGGTACAGAGGGAGCAGCTGAAACCAACAGAGGCCCTGCTCTCAGGCCTAGTCGGGGCTCAGACATTTAAACACACACACAGTGACAAGCTGTGGCACATTTCAGGAAAATAACTGAGTGCTCTGCAACAGGATAAAGAGGGACAAAGATAAATCCACAAAGTCCCTGCCAGTAACCCCAGGCATGGGCACAATGAACACATCAGTGTTGCTTATGACACAGAAAATCTGTAAGCAGCCTTCATGTCCAACGGTGCAATGGACCGAGCTGTGTGTCCCCATCCCCATTCATGGCATCTGGTCCCACCACTTCATGGCAAATAGGTGGGAGACAGTGGAAACAGTGTCAGACTTTCTTTTTCTGGGCTTCAAAATCACTGCAGGTGGTGATTGCAGTCATGAAATTAAAAGACGCTTGCTCCTTGGAAGAAAAATTTTGACTAACCTAGACAACATATTAAAAAGCAGAGACATTACTTTGCCAACAAAGGTCCGTCTGTCAATGGTTGTAATCAAAAAGTCTACAAACAATAAATGCTGGAGAGGGTGTGGAGAAGAGGAAACTCTCCTACACTGGTGGTGGGAATGTAAATTGGTTCAGCCACTATGGAGAATAGTATGGAGGTTCCTTAAAATAGAACTGAAAATAGAGCTACCGGAAAACCGTAATTCGAAAAGATATGGGTGCCTTCACGTTCATTGCAGCATTATTTACAATAGCAAGGACATGGAAGTAACCGGAATGGCCACTGGCAGAGGAGTAAAGAAGATGTGGTATATACACACATACATGTACACGATGCAATATTACTCAGCCATAAGAAAGAATGACATAACGCCATTGGCAGTGACAGGTGACATGACAGAGATTGTCATAATGAGCAAAGTCAGAGAAAGACAAATATATGATATCGGGTATATGCAGAATCTTAAAAAAATGGTACAACGAATGTATTTACAAGACAGAAATAGAGTCACAGATGTAGAAAACAAACGTGGTTCCCAAGGGAAGAAGGAGGGAAGGATAAACTGGGAGACTGGGATTGACATATACATACGGCTAAATGTAAAACGTGTAACTATTGATAATAAGAACCTTCTATGTAGTAGAACCTACTATATATACAGGGAGCTCGACTTACTAGTCTGTGATGAGTGACATGGGAATAGACTCTAAAAAGGAGTGGGTATGTGTGTATGCGTAACTGATTCACCTTGCCGTCCAGCAGAAACTAAACAACGCAGATCTAGTGTGCTTCAGTAAAGCTTCTGCTCCCCCCAGATCCCCAGCACGCCCCCTCCAGCTGTTGCGTCGGGGACCCGTCCCTCCACCCCTCGCCCACCGCCCCACGGGCAGGCAGAGCCTGCAGCAGCTGCCCACACCCAGGGCTCTGTGATGAGAGGACGCCCCCGCGGGTGCAGGGAGTGCCGGCTTCCAGCGGCCACACACTGCCCGTGGTGCCTTGGGCTCACCCTCTTTCTTCTCTGTGCCTCTGTTTTCCCTTCTGTAAAATGGGCAGTGATAGTACAATGAGCCTATGTGGACCTTGAATTGCAGTGGGAAGTAGACGTGTTAAAATCTGAAAAGCGCGCGTTGCCTGGACGGGCAGGTGGTAAATGTGGCACGCGGAGCAGGCTGCCTTTGGTTCACCCTGGCCCTGCCACTTTCCAGCCACGTAACCTCTCCGTGACTCAGTTTCTCCCTCCGGAAAATGGGCATGATGATGGCGCCGACCTCAGAGAGGCTCTGTGAGGATGCAGTGACGGACTTGCAGTAGAACCTCACAGGCTGCCTTAGTGAGTGTTTCCACATGAAGGCCAGAGAAAGACGCCCCACACACAGAAAACCCAGGAGAGCGAGCCGTCGCGGGGATGACCCAGTCTGGGTGACTTGTCCCAAACCTGGTTAGACTTCTTTTTTAACCCGTTTTATTTCACTGTTCATTTTTAACCAGAGTGTGACCGCTTTACAAAGTTGTGCTCATGTCTGCGGCGCAGCGAGGCATCAGCTACACACACCTGCTCGCCCTCCGGAGCCTTCCTCCCGCTGCCCCTCGTCACTCGCCCAGGCCGGCAGAGAGCGCGCAGTGAGCCCCCGAGGCACGCAGCGGCCCCCGGCAGCCGTCTGCTCCCCGCGCGGGCCTGCATGCGCCAGTCTCAGCTCTCAGTTCGTCCCCACGCCCTTCCCCCGCGGTGTCCACACGTCCCATCTCCACATCCGCGTCTCTGTTCCCGCCCTGCAAACAGGTTCATCAGTCTCATTTTCCCATGTTCCATATCCCTGCGTGCATATGTGACATTTGTCCTTCCTGGATCCTCTGTGAAGGTGTAGCCCAGTCTGTGACCTCAGCCTCGCCTTCTCCTCTCTGATACCCTGTTTGGAACAGAGAGGCAGGTCTGGGGGGACCCAGGTGTCCGCAGCTCCAGGGAGGGATGGGGCGGGGGGATGAGGCCTCAGACCCGCACCCTCGCTCGCAGGCTTCCGAAACCCCCAGCTCTTGCCAGGACGCTGACCGAGCCCGCCTGCCACCAGTCCCGGCATCAGTGCCAAACCCGGGTCCCGGTCCTGGGGCAGCTCCAGGACAGAGGAGGGGCCGAGGAGACACCGCGGGCCCCAGGGGAGGAGGGGCTGAGCCGCTGGGCCACAGACCGCAGGTGCTGACTCACGGCCTCCGCCGGCGCTGGGCGGATAAAGGAAGCAGCCTGGGGCTTCCTGAGCCGCAGGGACGCAGCACGGGGCAGCGATGGCCTGGGGGACGGTGGTCCACGTGGCCCCGGGCCAGCCCACCCACGCCGTGTGTGTGCTGGGCACCGAGACGCAGCTGGACGTCTACGGGTGAGCAGCAGACGCCCTGGGCCACGGGCAGCTCTGGGGCTGGGGGTGAACGGCTTCTGCGGCCACACGCGGGGTCTGGCTCAAGCTTCAGGCTCCAGCCTCTGTGGCCACTGCCGGGGAGTGCCGGAGAGCCAAGACCCGAGTGGCCCTGGGATTCTCCTGGGCTCAAGGCAGTGGTTCATCGCCACAGACAAGCGGGGCTTCCCCAGGGCCTCACCGCAAAGGAAATGTAGTAAGGCAAGCAGGACCACGTCCTTGCACGCTTGAGGCCAGGGAGCTCAGAAAGGGTCCGGGACTTGCCTAAGGTCACGCAATATGTGGACCCTGGAATCAAGTCTGGTCTCTGGATTTCACGGCCCCAGCCTGGTTCCCCTTGCCTTGTGCTGCCCTGCACTTCTCAGCCAAGCCTCCCTCCGTGGGTGTGTAAGAGCACGGGTGTGACGGGACAGGTTCTGGCCTGGAGCGGCGGAGGCAGAGACCTGGCCCTGCTATTGGTTAGCTGAGATGCCTTGGGCAACTGAGCCTCAGTGTCCTCATCTGTGAAATGGGGATTATACCCACTTTGTAGGGTGCTTGCAGGGACTGAGAGTGAAAAACCTGAAAGTGTTGGTTGAGTACTTACGACAGCGCTGGGCCTGCAGTTGGTAGTTGTTCTTTTGTTCATTCCTTCACCAAATGCTGATTGAACCCCGATTGTATCCAAGCCCCGTGCCAGGCTCTGGGAACGCAGGGTGGTCTGAGCCGCTCGTGCTGGGCACGGCTGGGCCGTTGCTGTGGTCAGTGGTCACAGTGCCAGCCTCTGGCTTCCGCCACCGCAGGTGAGCACCTGCTTCGAGAAGGTGCCCAGAGGGCTGTTTGGCACATTCCCTTGAGTGTCGCTTCCTGAAAAGGGGCAGCAGATGTCTGGAGCCTCCCGGGGACACGGAGGCTGGCAGCAGGCCAAGAGGGTGAGGACTGGGGAGAGGAGGCCCGCCGCCATCCGGGCCACCCTGCTCCGGGGGAGGCTGTCCGTCGGGGAGGCCTCGAGCTCGGGGCTCCAGCCCTGCTGGCTCACGCGGTCACGGCTGGTCTTCACGGCACGCTTGGCACACAGCTCAGTCCAGCCCCTGCAGGCAGGCAGCGCCACCCCCGTCTTACGGAAGAGGAGGCTTGTTTTCACCTTTTCCCTTTCCGTTGTCCATTCTTTCTACGTAGACTTTTTCTCTGTACTTGCCTTTTCGAAGGCAACCTGCAGGACAGGAGGAGCCCAGGGGCCAGCAGCAGCGGGCCGGGCCCCGCCTCACCGTGTCTGTCTGTCCGCCCCGTCTGTCTCCTCCACAGCTCTGCCCCCAAGGGCTACACATCCTTCAGCATCACTGCCTCCCCAGGAGTGGTCGTGGAGGTCGCCCACAGGCCTCCAGCCAAGAAGAGTCCCACAGGCTCGTCCCAGTGGCCCCTGGAGCCCGGGCTGGACGTGAGCCTGAAGCTGAGAGCGGCCAGCGAGAGCACCGGCGACCAGAAGGTGAGGGCAGCGCGGGGGGCCGGGAGGCGGGGCGGCCAGCAGGTCCTCTCAGGCCCGTCTGTCTGGCATCGACCCGCGGCCTCAGCCACTCTCAGAGCCTCCTAACTCCGGCAGCGCTCAGGACAGCTTGTTCCAGCCGTAGCATCCTCACATTGAGGTGTCAGGGGGTTACGGAGGTCAGGGTTTTCGTTAAATTTATTCATCCAGCAAGTGTTTAATAGGCGCCTTCTCTTTGCCGGGCACTGTCAGACCCTGAAGATTTTAATGAACAAGAAAGGTGAGACCGCAGCCTCTGCGGTGCTCACAGCCTATGGGCGGAGGATCACATAATATAAACAACTAGGAATGCGCTGCCTGCTGGGAAACTCACAGTCAGGCAGCCGCAGGAAACTGGTCTTGCCCTCTTATTATCTTCATACGGCTGCTGTAACAAAGGACCACACTTTTAAAGCAGCAGAGACATATCCTCTCACGTTTCTGGAGGACAGAAGTCTGAAGTCAAGGTGTCACAGGACCACGTTCTCCGGAATCAGTTCTCTGAGGAGAATCGGTTCTTTGCCTCTTCCAGCTGCTGTTGGCTGTTGGCAGCCCTAGACTGACAGCCGCGTGGCTCCCGTCTCTGCCCCGTGGCCCAGACCTCCTCAGTCTCTCTCTGCCTCCTTCTTGGCAGGACACTTGTCACTGGACTTAAGGCCTATCTGGATAACACAGGATGATCTCAAGGTCCTTAATTACATCCACAAACATCTTTTTTTTTTTCTTTTTTTTCCCCCAAATGGGGTCACATTCACAGGATCCAGGGATTAGGATGTGGACATATCTTTTGGGGAGTCACCATTTGACCCGCTGTACTCACATTGACTATAGATGGATAATCAGGACCCTCCGGAGGTTCTCACACACAGATCTGGGCCAATAACCACTTGTTCCCAGCAGGGGAGGCCAAGCAGTCTCTCCCCGGGGGCAGAGAGCTGTTTCCTGTTGTAGGAACAGACCTTGGGCATCGAAGCTGGTCAGCGAGTGAGTCATCAGGGAAAGCTTCCTGGAAGAAGCGGCAAGCTGAAGGGTGCTATGAATGACCTATTTAAGAGGGGGAAAGAGGAGCAAGGGCTCAGCGTGGAGGATGTGGCCTGAGTGCGCACTCTGGATTAAGAGAGGGTGAGATGTGTGTTGCGGAAGCAGAAAAACGCTTGTATGGAAAGAAAAGGGTGGAGAGAGAGAGCCAGCGTCAGAGGGTTTGGCATCCAGGACCTCTTTCTCTTGGGGCAACAGGGGGCCAACGGGAACCTCTCACCCAGGAGCAGCTAGACCGTGTATGTACCTTAGAAAGACCCACTGGCTGCAGTGGAGTGAGTCAATTAGATCTAGGCAGGGCGGCCAGTCAGGCGGTGGACGCCACGGTTCAGACGCAAGGTGACGGTAGCTGTGACGTTTCTCTGGGTGCCCGCCATCTACAGGGCAGGTCCAGATGCCTCAGTGTGGCCCCCGGGAGCCCCGCTTCCTCTGGGGGCAGCCCTTGGGTTTTGCTCTGGGGAAGTCCTCTGCATCATCTTGCTTCGAAGTGTGGTTCCCCTGATGCTCGGCCAGGCGGGGCTGATTGGATTGGTTCCTCCTGGACTTGGAGCCTTGGGGGATGGGGGTTGGTGTTTCTTGATCTCAACAGCACCTGCCCTGAAGAGGCCGGCCCCCGCTCAAAGCCCCGGCTCCCCAATCCCTGGAGGGCTGGGGCCCCAGTCTTTCAGAGTCTGCTTCCTCAGGCCTCCCCCTCCCCGAGGGCCAGTGTTCCCTGTGGCTGTCACCCCAGCCTCCCTCTCATGCCTCCCCCATCACACCCCCAACTGCTGGACTCTGCGCTCCCTCCTGGACCCCCCTCAAAGGGTGGCTCCCTGACACCGGGCAGGCAGAGTGCGCCCTGGGCCCCGGCTCCCGAAGGGCCCTCTCCTACGCCTCACAGCCACTCGAGTGCGTTTCTGCCCCTCCAGTCCTGCCCACTGGGGCGTTCCCAACAGGCTGGGGGCCCCATCCTTGTCCCCTTGGCCCCCCGCTCCAAGCCGGCACCTAACAGCCGCTTGGTGTTTGCTGAATGGCTGAGGACGTCATTAGTGGTCCGCCCCTGTTCCGCAGGTGCAGATCTCATACCATGGACCCGCGCCCACCCCGGTGGAAGCCCTGCTCTACCTCACAGGGGTCGGTAAGTGACGCCAGCAGCTCAGAGCTCAGCCCCCTCCCCTCCACACACCCCGCTCGGGAGAGACTGCACCCGACGCTTACTTGAGACCAAGCGGAGGAAAGAAGAATTTCTAGACAGCCATACATCTGGCAGTTCATAAGCATTCCTCCCCCAGTCAGGGAACCAGAAATACCGCTGGAGACAGGGCATTTGCAGGGAGGTTCAGTTACATCTCAGTATTTTATTTCTCAGCTTAGGAATTGGCATGTGGATTTTCTACATATGAGTCTCTATACCTTTTTGAAACCTCAAATATTTATGAGGAAAATAGATGATGATACTGTCTTACACAATAATATAGACCAGTATCCCCCAAACGATTTACATCCCACCCTCACCATTTTTGCCATATCAGTGATCTATACTCATATTTAGTATTCTTCTTCAACTAAAGTATGTTTTAACTTGCCCTCATTTTAGACAATAATATCATAATACCAGCATTATTTAAATGTACACTAAATATATGAACAACATGTGAAGGTTTCATTCATTTATTTCATAATAAATGTCATTTCCTTATTTCATTAATAAATATGAATATAAATAAATTTCATTAAAACACATTTTAATAATTTTATCATCGTTTAGCACTTACTCTACGGCTTCCTGGTAGCTCAGACGGTAAAGCGTCTGCCTCCAGTGCGGGAGCCCCGGGCTCGATCCCTGGGTCGGGAAGATCCCCTGGAGAAGGAAATGGCAACCCACTCCAGTGTTCATGCCTGGAAAATCCCATGGACCGAGGAGGCTGGTGGGCTACAGCCCATGGGGTCGCAAAGAGTCGGACACGACTGAGCGACTGCACTTCACTGTGCTGGACAGGGTGCCAAGACTTTACGTTTAAACCTTGCAACAATCCAATGAAATTGCTACTATTATTAGCCCATTTTACAGGTGAAGAAACTGAGGTACAAGAGGTAAAGAGACCTGCCCAAGATCACACAGCTGGTTAGCAAAGGAGCCAGGACGTTCTGGCTACCGAGCGCTGTGCTCTCTGGCCCAGCACTGGCACGTGGCTATGTGCATTTTATTTTATTTTATTGTTTTTGGCTATGTGCATTTTAAAAGGTCGCCAGGTCAATCTCATTCTGTGATCTCATGAGGTCACTGCACAATTATCATTGGGATGACCGTGTGGTCACGTGTTCTGATGAGGGGAAAGCATGTGCTCTCTCACCCATGCCGTCTGGACAGAGCAGGTATGTCTGAGGCTGCGATTTGTCCCGCGGTACTCAGAACGCAAAGTCAGGTGGGACCGAAGCAACCACTGTGCCCCCTGCTGCAAGCTCGCCGGGGGCTGAAGGTGGGGCCAGAGGCCACTGTGGGGCAGCGAGGCGTCCCTGCAGGAGCTCTGCCTCATACACCCACTGGGGCGGCTGGGAACTCTTTCTGAGGCCCTGGGGTGGGGGGCGCACGGGGCAGACACGCAGGGTCCGGGTGGCATCCCGGGTGCGGCACGGCCTCCCACCCAAGGAGGATGCCTGCGGTCAGGAGCCCCTGCTCCTCGGCCGTGGGGCCCACGGGGCGTCTTACACCCGGTGTCTCCTCTGAAGGGGAGCCAAAGAAGCCTTCGTGCAGGGGAGTCTCCTGGGGAAAGGGCTGTCCGTCTGGGGCCAGACCAAGTGCCCCACCCTTGGTCTGGTCTCCTCACCAACCCTGTCCTCTTGTTTCCTGGGATTTCAGAAATCTCCTTGAGTGCAGACATCAGCCGCACCGGCAAAATGAAGCCCGTGGGAAGCGTGAAGGACCAGGTACACACAGCTTGACCTTGGCAGGGCCTTGAGCGACCTCCTGCCTCCACTGGGCTCGCCTCACACGCCCCCTGGTGGTGATGGGGTGAACAGCAGCGTGTTTCATGTATCCAAGTTAATAGGCCAAGAAACACAAGTTTAGGAAGAAAAAAAAAATTAAAATCGCCAATACCATTATTGCTTTGGTTTATATAGCTCCCATCGAGTCTACAAAACTAGATTTTCATGATTGTAGATTCAGAGAATGTGTCGTCCCACAAACTGAAAACTAGATTCACCCAGTTCACACACAGCAAAGAAAATTTTCAGGCAGGTATGGACCCTGGCCCAAAAATCTGGGCTGTGAATAATTCCCTGACGGCCCAGCAGTTAGGACTCCACGCTTCCACTGCAGGGGTCCTAGGTTCAATCCCCGGCTGGAGAATTAAGATCCCTCATGGGGGACTTGCCAGTAATAGAGAATCCGCCTGCCAAGGCAGGAGACATAAGAGATGCAGGTTCAGTCCCTGGGTGGGGAAGATCTCCTGGAGAAGGACATGGCAACTCACTCCAGTATTCTTGCCTGGAAAATCCCATGGACAGAGGAGCCTGGCGGGCTGCAGTTCATGGGGTTGCAAAGAGTCAGACACAACTGAACGAGTAAACAGCAACAACGTCCCTCATAGCATGGCCAAAAAAAAATCCCCTATAAATCCCCTCTGCTAGAGTTCAGCGACTGGTGGGAGAGGTTCCCACAGGGTGAATAACACAGAGAAGAGGCAGTGGGTGGAGCAGGGAAGGGGGCAGGTGGGGACAGGGAGTGTGTGTTGCAGAAATGTAGGGTGGTGGTTGGTGATGATAAGTTGTCTTAAACCTATGATAAACCTCATGGTGTCCCTGAAGCCTCAAAGCTGCCTGCACATTTTTATGCTGATCTGGACTTTAATTAACTAATTAATAATTTTTTTGGCCACGCTGCGCAGCTTGCAAGATCTTAGTTTCCCTGCCCCAGGCAGTGAAAATCCCAAGACTTGTTCACTGGACCGTCAGGGCAATCCCAATATGCTGGGTACACTTAAGGATGATAGGGCCTGTCAAAAACTAAGATCCCCTTGTGGGATCAGTCAACAGTGAAGGGAAGAATTGCAGCTCTGGGAGTGGAATCTGTCCTTCTGTCTTTCCCAAATTGCAGTCACTCCCTGGGGCAGAACGCTCTGCTACAAACAGAAGGTGTCATCACTGTTGAGATTCTTGATGGGAGGGGTGCTTCATTTGCTTTCATCTTCACACAGATAGCAATCAGCTACTAAGAATAGTGCCCACACTTTCATGAAAGAGGTAATTAAGAGTTCTCATAAGAGGCACTATTTAGATCTGAATCTTGACACAAATGTTTAGCTCAGCTTGGTTTGCTAATCCAACAGTTTTTAAAAGCTGTTGAAATCAATTTTACTGTCTTGGGCTCCTATCTTCATTAAAAAAAATTTTTTTAAGATTTTTTTTTTATGTGGACCATTTTTAAAGTCTTTATTGTGTTATAATATTGCTTATGTTCTATGTTTTGATCTTCTTGACCACAAGGCATGTGGGGTCTTAGCCCCCTGATGAGAGATCAAACCCACACCCCCAGCACCGGAAGGTGAAGTCTTAACCAATGAACCACCAGGGAAGTCCCTTGGGTCCCTTTTATAAAATGCATGAACTGAATTTGTTTATGGTTTTGGGGGGAGGCAAAAATCCACTCTTGGGACCAAAATACAACCTGATGTGGGAGCAAGATGTGTAAACCATGCGAGACTGCAAGGTGCTAGGCAAGGTGGTGGGCTTCCCCAAGAGCGGGAGGGGCACACGTGTTCCTAAGTGTGCCCGTTTCTGCTGGGTCCACAGAGGGCCTGGACCTGGGGCCCCCGTGGGCAGGGCGCCATCCTGCTGGTGAACTGTGACAAAGACAACCCCAACTCTTCCGCCGTGGACTACAAGGACGACCAGCTTGACGGCAACGGTAAAGACCCCCGAGATCTGCTGGAATAGGGCTTTTGTCTTTTTGTAAAGTCTTTCGTCCTGAGCCTTGCAACAGCCCTCAGAAATGAGGCTTATTGGAAGCATGCTCTCGTTAGCACATGGGTTACGTAGGTGAAGGAATGGACAAGGGTCCTGAGAGGGCAAGCGACCCGCCCGAGGCCACTCAGCACCCAGGGGAGGGCGGGGAGCAATGTCAAGTGTGTCCCGATGCCTCCTCCAGGGCCCCGTGTCTATCCCGAGCCTGTTGCCCAGCCCAAACTTCTGCTCGGAGGCCAAGCCTGGGCCCCCAAATAATTTAAAACGAAAGGCTGACCAGACCCCAAACTCAGGTCAGAGCGGCCCTGAGCCCCGGCCAGTCTGGGCACTGCTCCAACCAGTCCGGAATTATTAGCTCAACTGATCCTTCAGCTCAAGGCTCAGAAGTATGTATGGTTCTCATCCCCACGTTACAGATGGGAAAACTGAGGTACAGGGAAGTTAAGCAACTTGTCCTGGGTCACACAGCTAGTAAGTGTGCGGCTCGGGATCTGAGCCTGGGCATCCTGACACCAGGGCAGGTTTAGGAGCCCCGCTGGCACACGTCTGAGTGGCGGCCAGGATGGAAGACGCACGGCCCACCCGCACTGGAGGACGGCGCTCAGGGAGTGAGGTCATTTGGTCATTTGAGGGCGGCAGCTGCTGCCTTCCTGCGGGCGTAGATGGATGCAGTTTGAAGTTACGTGCAGTTGGCGTGTCCTGATGCCAGGAGGCAGCGTCCCCATGGCGCCTGGCACACACGTACCTGTGTGGACCCTCCCAGGATGCAAGGTGCTGTAACGGGTTTTGCACCCGTGACTGCACCCTTTCTGTGCCGGCTCTACGCTTAGTCCCGCGTGCTGACAAGGAAGCCGAGGAGTGGAAGGGGAAGCAACTCCCCACGCTCACACAGACCAGGGTGCCCGCTCCAGCGCCCTTAACCACGTGACTCTTGTCCGGCTCTGCCTTCCCCACGTCTTTGTCAGCCACCATTCAGGCTGGTTCATTTCCCACGCAGGCCCCGGGGAGAAACTTCTCCACTCATTCACTCTGCAAATGATCATTGATCACCTGCCTTCTGCTAGGCATTGGTCTAGAGGCTTCTCAGAGCTGGAAACAAAGATAGATGTGGTTTTTGCCTCGTCAAGCTAACAGCCTAAGCTCATCCTGGTGGGAGAGGGCAGATCCAAAACCTTGATTCGCTTTAATTCTAAAATGAAAACTGTCACTTAAAAACTGGAAAGAGCATAAAGAACATAAAGCCAGGTGCCGAGATGAAGGGTGGTCCTGGGGGGAGGGTGGTCTCAGGGGCTGACATCTCAGGCCACGCCCTTCTCTTTCCAGACCTGAAGGACCTGTCCCTGGTGACTCTGAGCACCAAGACCCCCACGGACTTTTTCAGCAAGCACCAGCTGGTGCTGCACGTGGCCAAATCTGAGATGGACAAAGTCAGGGTGTTTCAGGACAATGGTGAGTCAGCTCTGGCTGTCACCTCAGTGTTGCCTTCCCGCCCCCGCCAAAGGGACTCAGCCTCTTCACACCCTCTTCCGGGAAAAATTCCCGAGCACCTACCGCGTGCCAGCTTCTAAGAATCGAGGAAGCAGCAGGGAGTAAGCTGGAGGGCCTCTCTGAAAAGGTGGGCGCAGACAAAAAGCAGGCGGCAAGATGAGGTCTGGGGCCGGGTGAGCGCAGAGAAGGGCACACTCTCCCTCCCAAGCACTGCGGTAGCTGACCTTGTGTGTCTCTTCTCTCCCTCACACACACACATGCACAAACACACACAGAAGACTCATTTGCAGGAGCCGTTTGGTTCTTGTGTTTTAAAGCAACTGGGCTTTTTGTTTGTTTGTTTGTTTTTTGGCCACGTCGTGTGGCATGCAAGACCCTAGTTCCCCAACCAGGGGTTGAACCCCCTTCCCCTGCAGTGGAAGTGCAGCATCTTACCCATGGGACTGCCAGAGAAGTTCCCACAGAGGTTGTTGAATCCAAGCTGACTGCACATAATAACTGTAACATGTAATCATTTGTTCAACAGTCTGCTGATCAGAAACGTCAGTAGCTTCTCAGTGACTCAGGGGCACCTGCCACCCAGCGCTGGGTCAGCTCTAGGCACAGGGAACAGAGCAGAGAACTTAGCAGTCTCCGCCCTCAGCGGGATACCTGAGAAGTCGCCGTCTGCAGCCTCAGATGGAGTTAAATGCTGCACAGAAGGAGGCAGTGGGGAGGGAGAAGGCGGTCAGGGAGGCCCCCCCAGAGGGTCGCTGAACGGAGGGAGATGGAGGAACACCAGGGGACGGCACCCTGGGGCAGAGGGGACCGCAGATGCAAAGGCCCTGAGGTGGGCTGTGCCCGCGGGCTCGAGGACACAGGGAGACCAGAGTGCTGAGAGCAGCAGGCAAGGTTTACGAGGGTGAACAGGGCAGAGAAGAAAGGCCAGAGACAAGGGGCTGGGTCACGGAGGCAGGAAGTGCCTATGGCTTCCTGTCTGTACAGGTGGGGGTCCAAGAGGGCCGTGCCGAGGAGCACCCCGACCTGACTTAATTCCGTTCAGACCACAGGGATTAGACTGACATTGGTTTGGCCACAAACCAACTCCTTGCCTTTGCGGAGGTATCACCTCCCCAGGAAGCCTTCCCTGACCTTCCAGTGCTTATTGCTGTCTGTGATATTGACTGTCTTTTCTTCTCCCTACTGTGGCGCTAGTGGTGAAGAGCCCGCCTGCCAATGCAGGAGACATAAGAGACATGGGTTCGATCCCTGGATCAGGAACATCCCCTGGAGGAGGGCACAGCAGCCCACTCTCAGTATTCTTGCCTGAAGAACCTCTTGGACAGAGAAGCCTGGTGGGCTAGGGTCCATAGGGTCGCAAAGAGTCAGACACAACTGGAGTGACTTAGCATGGACGCACTTACCCAGTAGACTGTGCGCTCCGTGGGGCCAAGGACAACACTGTCTCCCAGATCCTATTGGGTCGCTGCGAGCAGGTGAAAGGCAGGGAGTGGACGAGTGCAAGAATGAACTATCACGTATGCTGGGCTTTCTATAACACCAGGTGACTCAGGCACCCCCCAACTCCACTCCTGGGCCTCCACGCAGTGATGTCGAGGCCGAGGCTCAGTCCTTTCCCCCTGAGGAGGGGCTCGGGCTCTTCAGAGACAGGGCCGCAGCGCTGACCTCCTGTCCGCTCCTAGGCGGCCGGCAGCCTTCCCGGTACAGCGCGGTCCTGGGGCCAGAGTGCCCGTCTCACGCGCTGGAGCTCCCGGGCGGCAGGCGCAGCACGCACTTCTACGTGGAGGGCCTGGCCTTCCCCGACGCCAGCTTCCCCGGGCTCGTTTCCCTCCACCTCTCCCTACTGGACACGTCCAACCCGGTAGGCCGGGGGATCGGGGGGCTGGGCTTCCAGGCCCCGCCCAGCTGGGGAGGGGGCTTCCCATGGCCCCGGGGGGCGGTGGTGCTGGGGCCTGGCGGTTCTCACAGCCCCTCTCTCGCCCTACCTGCCCCCCCCACTCCGCCTCAGGAGCTCCCCCAAAGCCTGCTTTTCCAGGACAGCTTGGTGTTCCGTGTGGCCCCCTGGATCATGACCCCCAACACCCAGCCCCCGAAGGAGGTGTACGTGTGCAGGTGAGGGTCCCTGACCCCCCCAGGGAGACCCCGGAGCACTTCGTGCGGGGCGGCGTGGGTGAGGGTAGGGGTGCTTGGCGCTTGTTTGGAGCCTTAGGCGGGCAGGGAAGTCATCGTGGGCGGTGTTTCCACGTCACTGTCCGCCCCCAAGGCATCCTGAGGGCTGCTTTAGCACCTGGGGGCCTTTGGACTTTGCCAGACTGGGAAGATGAGAACTCTGGTCCTCCGGGCAAGGCCTCTGGGCTCCCACGAGGGCGGCCCTGCACGCTGTACCCCCAGCGCTCATTTCAAGTGCAGGATCCTGACCAACCTCTGAGCTTCCGTTCTCCACCCTGGGGCAGGACACACAGCGGGGGCGCCCTGGGCATCAATCCTGCGGTCAGGGAGCCCCTGATAACCACGCAGGGCCTCGGGGGCCTTCCCCCCGCGTCTTCCTGCCGCTTGGGGGAAGGAGGGCTGCGAATGTAACCTAGTGGTCAGGATGCAGCCTGGACCGGAATGCACGTGGTGTGACCTTGACTCTCCCGTCCCCTCTCCGCGGTGCCCGCTGGTTCCCCTCCTGGGTTGTCAGCAGAGTTCAGGGACACAGCGGGCTGAGAGCAGAGAGACAGGGCGAGCGGGGGTCTCCACCGGGCTCCAGGGGTCTCAGAGCACCTTCTGTGGGGTCCCCTCCTCTGTCCAGGCCTCAGCTCCTGCTCTCCCTTAGTCCGGCTCGCCTCCCCAGAGCCCAGCCAAGGCCCCTGGGTGCAGAATCGGGGCACTAAGCACCTTTTCTTTTTTCCTGATCTTTCTAGGTTATTTGAAAACGAGGACTTCCTGACGTCACTGACCGCACTGGCCAAGAAAGCCAAGTGCAAGCTGACTGTCTGTGCGCAGGAGGAGAGCGTGGACGACCGGTGGATGCAGGCATGTGCCCTCGGGGCAGGCGGGCTGGGCACGCGGGAGGCGCGCCTGAGGGTCAAGGGACACGGGGCCCCGGCTCCACGGACTTGGCCCCGCACCCCGCTGGCCACCCTTCCTCAGCTGGGCGGGGAGTTAAGAGCCTCCAGCGTCCCTGCATATGGGGGTGGCTCAGGAAAGTGACCCTACTGACATTTACTGCGTCCATGGCCTGCTAGCCGTGCCACCGAAATGACCTCCTTCCTGCTTGAAAACTCTCAGATGACCTCGGGAAACTAAAATGCTGCAAAGCTCGGGGTCTGGGGCTTAAGCGGCCTGTCCGGCCCTGCTTCGACGCCAGCTGCCCGGGGCTCAGCCTCCAGGCCAGGCCGCACCCCTGCTCCAGCATCTTCCGAGGCGCCTGTCTCCTGCTCTCAGCTCCCTCCCGATCAAGTTGTCCCGTGTCCACCACCCTGGATCAGCACTCCTTTCTAATCCCCACATGTGGCCTCTGGTGGCTCAGACGGTGAAGAATCTGCCTGCAGTGCAGAAGACCTGGGTTGGATCCCTGGGTCAGGAGGATCCCTGAGTCAGGAAGATCCCCTGGAGGAGGAAATGACAACCCACTCCAGTGCTCTTGCCTGGAGAATCCCATGGACAGAGGGGCCTGATGGGCTGCAGTCCACGGGGTCCCAAACAGTCGGACGCGACTGAAGCAACTAACACACACACAACCCCCAAATAATACCCTCTCTGCATTTCTTATCATTCCACCTGTGTTAGATCAGACTAGATGAAGTGGCTGAAATGTCACCATTTTTTGTCTCAGAGAATGGCAGTTTGAACCTCCAAGATGGTTCAGCCCAATAGTGTTTTACGTCCCACGTCACTCCTGCCGGCTGGAGTACAAGCGGGGTGTGCGCCCGATCCATTCTGCGCCCTCCCGTCTCTGTCCCAGGGGCTCAACTGGGGCCTTACCTGCCCTCTTTTGGGGCAGGATTACCTCTGCCCTCCAGGCCCCAACTCAGCAGTGCACTTTCATTATTATTATCCAATTGTGGTCTTCCCTGGTAGCCCAGTTGGTAAAGCATCCGCCTGCAATGCAGGAGACCTGGGTTCGATCCCTGGGTTGGGAAGGTCCCCTGGAGAGGGGAACAGCTCCCCCTCCAGCATCCTGGCCTGGAGAATCCCATGGCCTGTACAGTCCACGGGGTCGCAGGGCCAGACAGGACTGAGCGCCCCTCACTCACTCTCGTCGTTCCTTTGTGTTGGGGAATAGGAGCTTTGCGATGTTGTTTAGTGTCCACTTTACAGCAAAGTGTCCGACCCTTTGCGACCCCACAGACTGCAGCCCGCCAGGCCCCTCTGTCCATGGGATTCTCCAGGCCAGAGTACTGGACGGGGTAGCCATGCCCTCCTCCAGGGGATCTTCCTGACCCAGGGATCAAACCGGGGTCTCCCACATTTCGAGTGGATTCCTTACCCTCTGAGCCAGCAGGGAAGCCCGAGAATACTGGAGTGGGTAGCCTATCCCTTCTCCAGCAGATCTTCCCGACCCAGGAATTGAACCGGGGTCTTTTGCATTGTAGGCGGATCCTTTTCCAGGAGGCCACACATACACATGTATCTACCCCTCCTTAGATCCTCTTCCACTTAGGTCACCACAGAGCGCTGAATGGAGTCCCCTGTGCCACAGGGCAGAGCTAACGAGTCTCCCCTGCGCCATCCCAGCTGCGTTGGGGGTCCCTCTGTGTCCCCCAGACCCCTCACCTCCCTCCCATACGCTCCTAGCACTGGGTGCTGAACACCCAGCTCTTGGGTCTCCCCTCGAGCTCAGGGCCATGGCTGGTACGCCGTGGGTCCCTGGCACCCACCAGGAGCAAGGGTGACGGACACCTGGGTTGATTCCTCTGCAGGCGGGTTCAAGTACAGGACAGTAAGCCTCGCTTTCCCAGAGCCCCTCTTCTGGGGTTGGATAACCCCGTGCATTCGCCCTTGACCCCACGGGGAGAGAGGGCGGATGGTTCTCCAGCCCCGATCCCCGCGCAGGGTGTCGGGACCCAGGCCGCACGTGTGACAGCCTCCCTGCCCCTCTCCCCGCGCAGGACGAGATGGAGATCGGCTACACGCAAGCCCCGCACAGGACGCTGCCCGTGGTCTTTGACTCCCCGAGGAACAGAGGCCTGAAGAACTTCCCCATCAAGTGCATGCTGGTACGTGCGGCGTGGGGGGGCGCAGCGCCGAACGCCCGCCTCCCGCCTCCTTCCTCGCTCCCATGCCCGCCCCACACCGAGCGCCCGCGGACGCCGCGAGGCCATCGCACGGGCGGAGGGGCGGTTTTTTAAAATTATCTGACTTACCTGTCCTTATCTGTTTTTTGAGTTTGTATTTCTCTGTGTGTGTGTGTGCGTGCTCGGCAGTGTCCAGCTCTTTGCAACCCCCTGGACTATGGAGAGCCAGGCCCCTCTGTCCATGGGACTCTCCAGGACAGAACACTGGAGTGGGTCGCCATTTCCTCCTCCAGGGGATCTTCCCAACCCAGGGGTCGAACCCAAGTCTCCTGCATTGGCAGGCGGGTTCTTTACCGCTGAGCCACCTGGGAAGCCCTTTTTAAAGTTACTATTTTATTTTAATTTTCTTCTTCAGCTGCATGGGTTGACATGCAGGATCTTAGTTCCCTGATGGGGAGTCAAGCCCGCACTCCCTGTGTTGGAAGAGCAAATCTTAGCCGCTGAATCTTCAGGAAGTCTCTGGCTGGGATATTTTCGTTACCAGGTGACACCTGGGTTTGCTTTCCCGAAGTCCTTTCTGGCTGTGAGCTCAGTTTGTCCCTCAAGGAAACCCCACTGAGCATGCAGGTCAGCTGCAGGCATTCTTGTTCCACTGCACATGCTCCTGGGACCTCCCGGTGTCCAGCGGTGAGGACTCTGCACTCCCACTGCACATGCTCCTGGGACCTCCCCGGTGTCCAGCGGTGAGGACTCTGCACTCCCACTGCACATGCTCCTGGGACCTCCCCGGTGTCCAGCGGTGAGGACTCTGCACTCCCACTGTACGGGGCAGAGCTTCAGTCCCCGGTCAGGGGACTAAGGCCCTTCACGCCTCGTGGCGCAGCCCAAAGGAAAGAGATGCTCCTCTGCAAGGTGGGGGTGGGGCCCGGGCCAGCACCTTCTTCAGCACCAGCTGGAGGCTTTGTCTTTTGGGTGGGAGTGTGGCTTTCAGGGGCTCCCCTTGGGACATGCAGAGTGTTCAGGACCATTTCTTCAGGGTGACTTTACCAGCCAAAGTCTCTGTGTGTGTTTAGGGGGTGGACTGAGGGCCACGTATCAGTGAGTCATGCTTGACAGCTGGGTAGCTTCCTGCAAACTCAGCACAGAATAGCCCTGGACCACCAGGGAAGTCGCTTGGGATGTGGTCTGAGGGCAGGACCAACAGGACTTCCTGACCGTGCGGGAGTGACAAGCCGGAGGGGCTCCAGGCCTTGACCCTCGTGGGGGGCAGGCGCCACCCCCTGGGAGGGGAGGACCACGGGACGGGCAGGGAACGAGGGACTGGGGAGCGGGGTCAGCGGTTCTGACTGGGGCCTGTGTGAGATGTCTGGTCAGCGTCCAAGCGGGGCGTCAGGCAGGCCTGGGACGCGCTTCCGGCTTTGGGAGAACGTGCAGATGAGTTGGGAGCGTGGCATGGTCAGCACGTGGACCGTGTTTCACGCGACCAGGCGAGACCACCGGAGGAGGGAGTGAAAGGAGGAGCAGGTCTGCCTCCCGGCCCCCCCAGCGCACAGGGGACTCGGAGGGAGCAGAGGGGAGGAACCAGGAGCTCACGGTCTCCCGAAGGCAAGTGCAGAGAGCGTGGGGAGGACGGGGCCGAGCAGCCCACCCCGCAGCTGCTCACGGACAAGGGGGCCCAGGCATCGCCCGCTGAGCTCACTGTGGCCACGGAGAGCCCGAGGGGCATCTTCTTCGTACTGACTGTCGGTTGGCTGGTTTTGGACGTGGGGGGCTTCTCCGCTGCACACAGCCTTCCTCTAGCTGTGGGGCGCGGGCCTCTCACTGCAGGGGCTCCTCTTGTTTCGAGGCACAGGCTCCGGGTGCTCGGGCTGCAGTAATTTCAGCTCCCGGGTCTCAGGAAGAGGCTTGGTAGTCGGGGGCACGGGCTTCGTTGTCCTGCATGTGGGGCCTTCCCGGACCAGGGATCGAACCTGTGTCTCTTGCATTGTCAGGTGGGCTCTTAACCACTGGAACACCACAGGAGCACAAGGGGGCAGTTCTGACGGCCCAGTGGGGGAGGACGCCAGGTCGGCGTGGGCTTTAGAGAGAAAGGGAGGGTTTGGAAATGATGGTTGTAGACTTGTGGAGTCACAGACCCCCTTGAGACTACACATCTTCCCACAAGAAGTGCACCCAAGCCCACTATTTGGCATCTAGTTTCAGGGCATCTGTGGCCCCCATGAAGCCCCAGGGTACAAACCATCAATTTGTAGGAAGTAAAGTTAGAGGTGGGCTTCCCTGGTGGCTTAGCTGGTAAAGAATCCACCTGCAATGCAGGAGACACTGATTCGATTCCTGGGTCAGGAAGCTCCCCTGGAGACGGGAAAGGCAACCCAGTCCGGTATTCTTGCCTGGAGAATCCCCGTGGACAGAGGAGCCTGGCGGGCTGCAGCCCCTGGGGTCGCAGAGTCGGACGTGATGAGTGCAGAAGCACAGGGCTAGAGGTGCCGCGCGCAGGCTGAGTGGCGGCCCCGCACGTGGGCCCTGGCCCCCGGAAGCAGGTGCCGTCTTACATGGCAGCAGGGGCTTTGCGAACGAGGTTAAGTCAGGGGTCTTGCGATGGGGATTCTCCTGGGTGATCTGGGAGGACTCAGTGCCATCACAGAGCACCTCATGGGAGGGAGGAAGCGGGGTCGGGATGGGGAGACTTCTGACGGCAGAGACTGGAGTGGTGGGCACTGAACATGGAAGAAGAGCCGCCAGCCAGCTGACCCCTAGAAGCTGAAAACGGAAGGAAATGGTCCTCTCCCGGAGCCTCCAGGAGCCAGCCTGCCGCCCCTTGGTTTCAGCCCCGGGAGGCTGACTTCAGACCTCTGAGCTCAGAGCCGTGAGAGAAGGAACGTGTGCTGTTTGCCGCCGCCGGTCGGCTTACGGCGGCAGCCGAAACCAACACGGCGGGGAGGGGGCCGCCCCGCGGTCTGCTCCCAAGGACGGAGGGGCCACAGCCTCGTGGGGGGGCCACTCCAGCCCCAGGTGGGGACGTGACCCCGTGTGCACCAAGAGCGTCTGCTGTGCAGGCAGCTCGAATCGCTGTCTTTCTGACCTTGGTTTCTGCTCTGAAAATTAGGATGAAAATGATACCTTGCAGATTCATTTTTACACCCGAGGTAAAGTTTGTGAAGTGGGCTTCCCCCGTGCTCAGGGGTAAAGAATCCACCCGCTGATGGAGGAGACGCAGGAGACGTGGGTTCGATTCCTGGGTCAGGAAGCTCCCCTGATGGAGGAGATGGTGACCCACTCCAGTATTCTTCCTTGGGAAATCCCGTGGACAGAGGAGCCTGACAGGCTATAAATCCATGGAGTCACAAAGAGTCACAACTGAATGACATGCGAGGTTTTGGAGCTGCAGGCGTCCCTCAGAGACTCATAGACCCCCTCTCTTGCCCGCGCTGATTCAGCTTTCCTTCAGAACCCCTCAGACAGGAACGGGACCTGCTCTGGAGCGGCTGAAGGCTGTCTTCCGTGACCAAGCTCGTCTTACACCGACCGCACGCTCTCCTCCCCAGGACCCTGGGTTCTCTAACTCGGCCCCTGCTGCTCCCACCGCAGGGCCCAGACTTTGGCTACGTGACGCGCGGGCCCCAGACGGGCGGTGTGACTGACCTCGACTCCTTTGGGAACCTGGAAGTGAGCCCCCCGGTGACGGTCAGGGGGAAGGCGTACCCGCTGGGCAGGATTCTCATTGGGGACAGCGGTTACCCCAGGTGAGGAGAGGAGGCGGGGGTGGGGGCCAGACTCAGGGGCGCAGGGGGGTGGGGTGCAGCATAGGCCAGAGCAGAAGACCTTCCTGCTGGCTCCCGGCCAAGAGGGCGCAGCGGGGACATCCCCGGGGTCCCGTGGGCTAAGACTCCACGCTTCCAGCTCAGGGGGCCTGGGGGTGGGGTGGATCCCTGGCTGGGAAACGAAGTCCCTGCATGCCTCTCAGTGCAGCAAATTAAAAAAAAAGAGGGCTCGACAAACGAGGGACTGTGGGAAATCACAGCAGACAGCAAGGAACACCCAGTGAGGAGCCCAGCAGTTCCAAGCTCAACTCGGCCACTTACGCACCTCGGGTCAATAAATGTTTGCCAAGCACCTACTATGTGCGGGCAGTGTGCTAGGAGCTAGCAAGGAGCGCGGCCCTAAACACGACAGGTAAGCCCTGCCTCTGTCCTGGTGGGGCTGATGCATCACGAAAAGCCAACCAATCAGGATTTCCAGCAGTAAAGAAAACACAGAAGGGACAGAGAGGAGTGGGAAGCAGGGTGGGCGACCAAGGAGGGCCTCTCTGGGGTGGGGTCTGAGGCCTGATCACAGGAGGACGTGGCCGCATGCAAATCTGGAGCAGAGTTCCTGGGCAGGGACTTCCCTGGTGGTCCAGGGACTGACTCTGCGCGCCCCACATGGGGGCTCACGTTCGATTCCTGCTCAGGGAGCTAGATCCCATATGCAGCTAAGAGTTTGCGGGCTGCAACTAAAGAGTCCACAAGCCACAACTAAGACCCAGTGCAGCCAAATAAATAAATAGTTTTTTAAAAGGTCATGGGCAAAGGCCCTGAGGCAGGAATGAACTTGGTGGGTTCAAGGTCAGAGGGGCTGAAACAGAAACTGAGCCAGAGTGAAGGGCCAGATCGCAAAGGCCCCGGAGGTCAGGGCAGGGAGCGCGTGGAAGCCGGGAAGGTGAGGGGGTGTCCGCGAGGGCACATGGCTAACAGGGGCGCACTGGCTCGGCGGGACCAGCTCCACAGCCCCCAGCGATGCTGCCCGCAGCGCCAGCAGCAGGCTGAGTCGGCAGGCGGTGCTTGCAGAAGCTGAGGACCGGCCCTGCATACTTCACTGTGTCCACGCCTCGGTCGTCCCCAGTAAAACTGGGGTGACAGTTTCTAAACTCCTCAGATGGTTGGAGATATGATAATAATAAAAGGCATCCCAGGGTCTGAATCCCTTCCCTGAAGAATCCTGAGCGCTTCCCCAAGTCCCGGGCCCTCAGAGACTTCCTCGGTAACCGCCACCCTCGTGGGCTCCCCCACTCCCGTCTCCCCTTGAAAGTGAAAGCTTTTGTCGTTCAGCCGAGTCCAGCTCTTCATGAGTCCATGGACTGAAACCCACCAGGCTCCTCTGTCCATGGGATTCTCCAGGCAAGAATCTGGAGTGGACTGCCATTTCCTCCTCCAGGGGATCTTTCCGACCCAGGGAGGGGACCCGGGTCTCCGGCTCGGCGGGCGGGTTCTTTCCCGTCTGAGCCCCAGGGACGCCGTCTGCCCGTCGCTGCTGTTGCCGCTCAGTCGTGTCCGAGTCTTTGTGACCCCGTGAACCGCGGCACACCTGACCTCCCTGTCCTCCACCTTCTCCCGGAGCTTGCTCAAACTCACGTCCTCTGAGTTGGTGATACCATTCAACCATCTCATCCTCTGTCACCCCCTTGTCCTCCTGCCTTCTATCTTTCCCAGCATCAGGGTCTTTTCCAGTGAGTTGGATCTTGGCATCAGTTGGCCAGAGTATTAGAGCTTCAGCTTCAGAGTCAGTCCTTCCAGTGAATATTCAGGGTTGACTTCCTCTAGGATTGACTGGGTTGACCTTGCTGTCCAAGGTCTCCAGCACCCCAGCTCAGAAGCATACCTGTCCCCCCGTAACACTCCTTCGCACGTGTTTTGGCAGCAAGGAGAGCCAGGAGATGCACCGGGCCCTCCAGGACTTCCTGGGGGCCCAGCAGGTGCAGGCCCCGGTGAGACTCTACTCGGACTGGCTGTCTGTGGGCCACGTGGACGAGTTCCTGAGCTTCATTCCGGTGCAGAAGAAGGTGTGGTCCGGGGGGAGCTGCCTGAAGGAAGCAACAGGCCTCCCACCTGAGTTCCCAGCTCTGCCTCTGCCGGGGGGGCGGGCATTGACCTTATCTTCCCTAATCTTGTTTCTCCCTCACCCAGAAGGGGGCATGGAGAAGCAGCCAGCCTAGGGCCAAGCCCACACTCCCCACAGCCTTGGCAGAGCCTTCCTCCCTGGGAACCCCAGGGACCAAATTCATCTCTGACTGCAGGGTTTCTGCCCCCAGGGCTTCCGGCTTCTCCTGGCCAGCCCCAGGTCCTGCTACAGACTGTTCCAGGAGCAGCTGAAGGAGGGCCACGGGGAGGTCCTGCTGTTCCAAGGGGTCAAGAGTAAGTTGGCCGCGCCTGTTCTTCCCCCTGGGGACCTTCCACTGTCTTCACGTGGTCTCCTATCACCAGATGAAATCACTCAGGCCACTGGGACCTTCCACCCAGCCACCGGGCACCAGGCGTTGTGCCGGGCACTGGGGGCGCTGCGTGAACAGGGAGGAGGAGGCCCCTGCCCTCGGGACTCACAGTCCAGGGCAAGTGGGTCCAGGAAGCGACAGCACAGGGCTTCGAGGGGTGTCTGGGGGGAGCCCAAGGAGGGCTTCCTGGAGGAGGCAGAGATCAGGCCTGAGCATGAGAGGGGAGTAGGAGTTGGCCAGATAAGTGGGCAGTGGGGCAGGACTAAAGATAGTCCAGATAATCCAAGCAGAAGGAACAGAGGCAGGAGAAAGCAAGATGTGTTTCAGAACCTGAAACATAGTTCAGTCCGGATGGAGCACAGAATGAAACATTTTTCAGTGCTGTCCACAGACTCAAGCTGGAGTCAGAGGTTAAAGTCGCTACAACTGAGTTTTCGCCTAGTATCTGTGTGTGTCATAGAGCATCAGGCAATGGTCAGGCCTCTGTTTGCCCCTCTGAAACGGGATTCCTTTGGAGACAAGAGAATTTACGAGACTGAAAGTAACGCTCTTAATAAGAACTTACCCCGGGTAAATTATTTTATTAGAGTCATTTGCCTCCCAGATGCTCATAACAAACCTGTGTGTTCGGAATCACTGCTGCCCCCATTTTATAGATGGGAAAACTGAGTCCCTACTGGACCTCCTGGGAAGAGCAAAATGCATCTCTGAATTCACCTGATTCTTTTTCTTTTTCTCCATGACAGAAAAAAACCAGCAGAAAATAAAGGACATTCTGTCTGACAAGAAGCTGAGAGAACACAATTCCTACGTGGAGGTACTAGCCTGGCGTTCAGGGCATGTTACACCCCCGCAACCTGACACTCGCCCCGCCCCCACGCCCAGCCCTCATCCCGAGGTTAGAAGCCCAGGACATGGCCTTCCGGGTGATCAGTCCCAGAATCTGGGTCAGTGTGTGCGTGTGTGTGTGTGTGAGAGAGAGAAAGAGACAGAGAGAGACAGGATCACACTCAAGGTGAAGCCCAGAAAAGAGAGAGTTGGCAAAGTCACAGAAAGACAGGGCAAACTCAGAAACAGGCACAGAGGCGTAAAGAGGCCAAGTGTCCAAGTGACGGGAAAGGCAGGGATGCTGAAGCAGAGATGGGGAAGGGCTGAGCAAAAGGTGAGCAGGAGGGGCCCCGCGCTGCCTTCCTGGCCCTGTCTCAGGTCCTCCAGGATAAACCGCCCTGCCTGCGCCCCCCAAACCCCCCCAAACCCTGAGTCCTCGCCCCTCCGCCCACCCCCCAGAAATGCATCGACTGGAACCGGACGGTGCTGAAGAGGGAGCTGGGCCTGACGGAGCGGGACATTGTGGACATCCCCCAGCTCTTCAAGCTCATCAGAGACTCGCGAGGGACCGCCAAGGCCGAAGCCTTTTTCCCAAACATGGTGAGGATGTGGACCTCCGAGCCCACCCAGCTTCGCCCGCAGTCTTGAGTCCGCGAGGCCGCTTAGGCTGTGGATCCAGGAGGCTCAGCTGTCTCCTCACCCTTGGGGTTTGCGTGGCCCCCTCCAGCTTTCAGCGCCTTTAAGAGGCAACCACCTGGGGGTGAAAGACTGTCGTCACCCCCGCTTTACAGATGATTGGCAGGGGGGGTCAGGTCTCTGGCAAGAGCTGGGGTTCAGAGCTTGGGGTCTGGCTTTGGGCTTCCTTGTGTCAGGCCAGGTAAGAGCCAGCCGGGGGGTCTGCAAACTGGGTTCTCCAGGACCTTGGGGTTCCAAGACAGGACCTCACTCACAAGGTTTAGACTTGTCTCCATTTTGTGCTTTGACATATTGCAGAAAATTTTGTTTAGGAAAAAGGATTCCTTGGCTCAAACGAGACAGGAGAGAGCACCATCCTCTTAGCCCCAACTCCTGAATAAAATTCCTTGGCCCCAAGCATTTCATTTCCTTCTGCAGTTTAGCCCAGGGGGATAGAAAGCTGACGCCTGTGGCTGGGGGTGCAGCGTCTCAGAGGAGGGAGTCGGCCACGCTGAGGGCTGACTCGGTTCCTGTGTGAGACCCCAGCGGGAGCCGGGAGCCTGGGTGTGGGGCAGGCGGGGAAGTCGAGAGTGCCAGGCGCCCAGCACGGGCTGGCTCTGAGCGTCCGGATGTCCCTGCAGCGACTCATGAGCCCTGGAGACCGACTCCGGGCTCGCCACATGCTGCATGCTGCATGCTGCAGGCGCATACCTGTTCTTATCCACCGTCACAGCCTGGAAACGTGTCTGGCTCTTTCTGCTGATGAGGCGCAGAGCGGCCAAGTGACTTGCCTGAGGCCGCACAGCTGTGTAATAGTCCTGGGATTCAAATCCACAGGCTACCTCCCAATATAATACCTTATGTAAACGACTGTGGAGGAAACTGTCATTTTCATAACGTATTATGTATGGAAAGTGCTGTAAAATGGGCAGTACCTTGTTCACCTGGTCGTAATATCGACAGATCTTTATTAAGTGCCTCCCCTGTGCCAGGCACTGTGCTGGGAGCTATGGAACCCAGAGGATGACTAGTTGCCAGAGTCTGGAGAGTCACAGGCCGCTTCACAGAGGCTGTGACCTTGCAGTGGGCCCTTGAGGAATCGAGTTTGCCAGAGGGTGGCAGTGAGGAGGGAGGGAAAGGGTTGAGAACACGGACCCCAGAGTCTGAAGGCTTGGGTACAGGACCTCGCCTCACTCCCTGGCCTTCAGTAGCTCACATCGCCTTTCTGGGCCTCAGTTTGCTGGCCTGTGAAGTGGGCCTGTTAGGGGACACTCAGGTGGTGCTGCAAGCCGCACACTGCTGCCCGGGACCTGGGCGCCCCCTCTGAGCATAGAGAAGGTGCTGGGCTGGGAGCCGATGCCGCCCGTGACCTGGGCGCCCCCTCTGAGTATAGAGAAGGTGCTGGGCTGGGAGCCGATGCTGCCCCTGACCTGGGCGCCCCCTTTGAGCATAGAGAAGGTGCTGGGCTGGGAGCCGATGCCATCCCTGACCTGGGCGCCCCCTCTGAGTATAGAGAAGGTGCTGGGCTGGGAGCCGATGCTGCCCCTGACCTGGGCGCCCCCTTTGAGCATAGAGAAGGTGCTGGGGTGGGAGCTGATGCCACCCCTGGCCTGGGCACCCCCTCTGAGCCTAGAAAAGGTGCTGGGGTGGGAGCCAATGCCGCCCCTGGCCTTGGCGCCCCCCTCTGAGCATAGAGAAGGTGCTGGGTTGGGAGCCAATGCCACCCCTGACCTGGGCACCCCCTCTGAGCATAGAGAAGGTGCTGGGGTGGGAGCTGATGCTGCCCCTGACCTGGGCGCCCCCTTCTTTGCAGGTGAACATGCTGGTGCTGGGTAAGCACCTGGGCATCCCCAAGCCCTTCGGGCCCGTCATCAACGGCCGCTGCTGCCTGGAGGAGAAGGTGCGGTCCCTGCTGGAGCCGCTGGGCCTGCACTGCACCTTCATTGACGACTACTACGCCTACCACGTTCGGCAAGGGAACGTGCACTGTGGCACCAACGTGCGCCGGCAGCCCTTCTCCTTCAAGTGGTGGCACATGGAGCCCTGAGCCGGCCTCCCTCGGGGGCTCCTGGCCTGGACGCCGGCTTAGCTACGTGAATAATGTTGGTGCTTTGTCTCTGTTACATCAATTTACTTCTCATGTTTAGCTGTTCTATACTCATGAAGGGCTTTAAAGCAATGTTCTTGTATTTTCAACAATGAGCTTGATTTTTACTATATGACTATCTTAGAAGGTTGATCCCAGGGTGATGATCTGACCTCCTGTGACTCACCAAAGCGTTAGAGATGGGACAGCATCTTCCCACAGCTGTGATTTCTCAGTTCTAAGGACGGTCAGTTCTTAGTCAACTGGCCCATCAGCTGATGCCTCTTCTCTCCTAGAGGAGAATCTTGTTTCTGCCAGATTTAATTACCAAAAAAACACCCCAGCACACACCTGGACCAAGTATTAGATAGCATTATTTACCAAAGAAAATTTATTAAAAGTATTCAAAGGCCGCTTCGAGGTTTAGCCGCCGTCGGCACAGTTTTTGGCACTCTTGATGGACACTGTCACTCATTCTCCTACACACAGCAACTGCAGTTCAAACACAGACTGTCTCAGCCTTGGAGTTTCGTGAGACAACAGTACACCCTTTTCTGGGCAGTTGAGAAGCAGCCACAGGTTTTGGGCAACCAGAGTTTTGGTTTGAAAGCCGTGTCCAGGGCCCTCCCTTTTGTGGGTGCTGGGGAGTCAGTGGTGAGCAAGCGTCCCCTAGAGGGGGAGCAGGACCCACGATAGACGGAGCCAAGCCCTTCTCACGCCTGAGATGTCTGCACCAGGCCGAGGGGGCCCCCCACCATACTCGGAGCCCCCTACACAGGGCAGGGCTGCCCCCGGGTGGGAGGGACCGAGCTCCCGAGCTGCTCTGCTCCAGAGCCCTGAGCCCAGCCCTCTCGGGCCCTCCGCAGTCAGACCACTCCACCCACCAGCCAGCCTCTGGCTGGCGCGTTCGAGCAGACGGCCGGCTGGGTGGGAGTCGCTTGGGGTGAGAGTGGACACATGGTGAGTGGCTCCTACCTGAGGGGCTTTTAGAGTTTTCCTGGCCACCCCCTGCCTGCAAGAGCCTCCAGACTAAGCCACTCCTGACAGTTACACTGCAGACTTGAAACCTCCAGCAAAGGGTTGTTTTTCTTTTAACCTCAAGTTCAGGAGGCCCGGCTCACTGTGACCTTCGCATGGTACCCAGTTTGCGTGCCCCAGGCTGTTACGCAAGGCTTAGTCAGCACAGCAGCGTGTGCCAGGGCCACGGGTCGAGAACAGACGCGTGTGTGTAATGGGGCAGGCTTGCTCGGAGCACTACAGAGCCATAAAAGAGGGCCGGGATGCTTTTTACACGCCTCATACACACCTGACACAAAGAACTTCTGAGTCACGCTGTGAAGTGAACATAGCGAGGCATGGACTAGTGTGGAGCATGAAAGTATGAAGGAGGGGGAGGACGTAGGTTCACGTTGGCTTGGTGACCCGTTAACATTTGTTTGGAAAGACTTAGAAGAACCCGATGCCATTGGCTGCCTCCACATCAGGGAACAAATGGGAGACACCGAAGGAGGGAACCTGTGTTGCAAGCCCCCTTTTGAACTTGGACCCATGTGACTGTCATACGTATTCAAGAAAAACCATAACCCACACTTAGACAGTCTTAAAATCTGCTGGTGAGCCTCGTGGGCCAGAGCAGGTGTTCTCATTTCAGTGAACTCAGCGGAGATGGGGAGTTGCTGGCGCCCTTGCTCAGCGGGGGTCCTTCATCCATTCTTTCCACCGATCCGGCCCGGCCCCGGCTGGGAGCCAATGACACAGCTGTGCTCAAGGAGACCCCTAATCACCGGGGGAGGGGACGCAGCTGCCTGGACCACGCCCCGGGAACCTGCAGCTTCAGCAGGCGCCATTCCCTGGTCATTTTTCCAGCCATCAGGGCCCTGGGAACCACTGGCCCATCACTTACCACTTTCCAGGAACCCACGCCGTAGGACTGAGGCCTCAAAGTCTAGAGGGGCTGCCCCGCTCCTGACCAGGGCCCCATGCACCCCCTACAGACACTTGCTCCTGACGGCTTCCTGAGTCGAGCCTCCAGCGCCGAGGCCAGGTTGGCCATCCCAGGCTGCAGCTCCCCAGCTGGAGGCCAGAGCCCCAGGCAGCCGGCCTCAGCCTCTGCAGGCCTGCAGGCATTAGCTGCTTAATGAGTCGGTGACGCCCCGGCTCTGACCCCAGCTGCACCTCAGCAGCGCCTCTCCTCCCAGCAAACCTCCGTGGAGGAAATCAGTTACACTCCAGCAGCTGCCACGGCCTCCTTAACAAGGGGGCGGGCTGCAGTGGCCCTGAGCCCATAAAGGGGCGGGCAGTGGAGGCGACCCCAGGGTCGTCAGAGGTTACCGTGCCTGGCGGGGGTAGCCAGCCTAGAGGGCCGTGCCATGGCCTTCCGGAACATCGTCCCTTTGTCCCTGGACAGCCCAGCCCACGCTGTGTGTGTGCTAGGCATGGAGATCTTCTTAGACGTTAGCAGGTGAGGAGCTGGGAGTGGGCCCAGGCGGGCAGGCCGGCGCGGCTCCTTGCCTGGGGCACCCTTGGCTTACGCGGGAGTCCGGGGTTAACTGCACACTCTAGAAACTACCCTGCTGTCCTGCTCCATCTCCAGGGGCCAAGCTGGGTCTTTAAGGGCCTCCCCGTCCTGTTTCTGCCGCTCCTAGGCTGTGGGACCTGAGAAGCACGCGCCTTGCCCTCTCTCAGTCCCCTTCCCCGTGACATGGGGTGAGGGTGACCCCTAAGGAGGCCGTGTGGACTAACTGAGGGAGGCTCCTGAGAGCTGGAGGTGACTCTCGAGGCCCCCGCCTTCCCCCCGTCACGGCACAGACCTGCCAGGCCTTGCTTTTCTGTAGGGATACCTCATGGCTCAGACAAAGGGCCCTCCCCTCCTTGGAAGATGGGTGTTCGTGAATACGATGTAGCTTGGTAGCTTCCAGAGCAACTGTGGGAGGCGGGGTCTGGCGGGCAGGCACTGAGGTCCTGGGAGCAGGGTGTGGTGAGGAGAAGGCTGACATGTTAGGACCCAAGAGTGCCTTGACTGTGAGTTGGGGGCCTCAGCAGCGGAAAGGCTGGGGGCAGCCCCTCCAGCTGCGCCCGGGGCCGGGAAGGCGGGGCTCCTGTGCTCCAAGCTCTGTCTGCCCGCCGGCCTCAGGTGTGCCCCACGGAGCTGCGAGTCCTTCTCCGTGGATGCGTCTCTGGGCATTGTGGTCCGCGTCTGTGACGCAGCCCCGGTGGGGAGCAAGGAGGAGCCGGCCACGACCCGCTGGCCCCTGTCGTCCCCGACAACCGTGCTGGTGGCGATGACATCCCCCAACTTCGCGGAGGACGAGGGCAAGGTAGGTCTTGGGGCGGGGGAAGGTGAGGGCGGCTCTCCCAGGAGGCACTAACACGCCCTGGGGGCTCCCTCCTGACAGCTGGTGTGTCCTGAGCTCCGAGTCTGAAAAATTCAGAGCCAAATGCTTTGTCTGATCTTATTCAGGGCTTGCAACCAACTTGTGAGGCGGGCACTCCGTGACCCCACCTTACAGACGAAGAAACCGAGGCATGGAGTAAGGGAAGCGCCCTGCCCAAGCCAGTAACTGGCTGAACGGGGATTCAAGCTCAAGTGTGTCTGTCTCCTCCATACGTGCTTCTGACCACAGCACTAGCTTCCAAATCAGCTTTTTTAAAGTCTGGCCTAAAAAGTTTCAGCAGCAGGACTCAGACAGGCTTTTTGGCTGAGGCTGGCCTCCCGGATAGGAGCCTCTTACTGAAACTTGTCCGATGCTGAGCACCAGGTGTCGAGTCACGTTTCCTGAGGTCGGCGTTCCCTCTGTTTATGTGAGGAAACGGGCAGACCAGGATCCGAGCCCGTGCCTTTCCCCCGGGCAGGCTGCCGCCCTGATGGGGCCCGTAGCAGAGACGTGGGCTCTCAGCTCGTATAACCGGCTCAGTCAACTCTGAGCGGTTAGTGGTGGTTCGGAATTAGAACCACCTGATCCCCAGGCCACGGCCCCTACCACCAAACCATCCTCTGGGCCTCACAGTTCCCAGGTGACCCCAGTGTGAGGGTGAGCAGGAACAGCTGAGGGAAGCACGTTTAGGACCGGGGTGGGGGGGGCTCTTATTACCAGAATGTTCCAGAGGATAGTCAGCAGGGGGCTAAGCTGGGATGACTGAGGGGGCACACAGCCCCCTCTGCACCCTGCACCCAGAGCAGGTGACCCCCCAAGAGGCAGGTGACGTGCAAGTCGCTCAGTCGTGTCCAACTCTTTGCAATTCTCGAAGCCAGAATACCAGAGTGGGTAGCCGTTCCCTTCTCCAGGGGATCCTTCCAACCCAGGGATCAAACCCAGGTCTCCTGAGTTGCAGGCGGGTTCTTTACCAGCTGAGCCGCCAGGGAAGCCCAGGAGGCAGGTAGGACAACTTACCTGAGCCTGTGACGTGGCCCAGCTGAGCCAGAGCACCTGAGAAGCGTCTGCCCAGGGCTCCGCCTCCAGCACCACCAGGACTGAGATGCTCACCCCGGGCCCCAGCTAACAGCTGGTTCTGTCGGTCGTGAGGAGGGCCTGAGGTCAAGGCCGGAGGCCGAAGGACAGGGCTTGCTCTAAAGTACGAAGACTCCTCTGCAAGCAGAGGTTGCTGCAAGACCCAGGACAGGCACCCCTGCCCCCGGCGGCCTCTTTCTGGGCAGCTTGCCCATCGGAGGCCCCACATCCTCACAGCCCACCTCGTGCGGTCCCAGGAGGGGCGGTGCAGGGGGGAGGACATGGAGGGCAACTTAAAGCTTGACCTCTAGAGCTGCATGGCCCAGATCATAAATCCTGTTCCACCCCTTTCACTGGCTGAATAATTTAGTCCTGATTTCTCTGCCCTGTGGTTAGAGCCTGGACGGGCGGGGTAAGGCCTCGGCGTGGAAGGGCTTGGAGGGTCGTGGCGGTCACACCCGGGGGTTGTAACAGTCCAGTGACCCTGTGCTGGCTCCCGGGAGACACTGGAAGCTCAGAAGCTCTGACATGAGACTGAAGTCAAACGGCCAGACCGGGGTATGGGGCCCTGCCCCCGGCCCGTCCACTAACGCTCCGGGGGTCCCGGGTGGTCTCCACAGGTCCTGGTCTTCTACCACCAGCCCGACGAGGATGCGCCCGTGGCCACGGCAGTGCTCCACCTCACGGGCGTTGGTGAGTGGCCCCCCGGGCCCAGGGGATCTGCAGGGGCTGCCCCTGTAACGAGAGGCCCCTGTGGACTCGTTCGGTACCTGCTTCCCTCAAAGCTCAGCCGCTGCTCGGCCAGCCTCGCTCGCGCTCTGAACAGAACACAGGCTGTCAGGACCGCTTGTGTTCATGGCCCCTACCCACCCGTGTCGGGGTCCTACGGCTGCTTCTCTTATAATCG